GTCCCTGCCCATGGCAGGGGTGGCACTGGATGGGCTTTAAGGTCCCTTCCCACCCAAACAGTTCTGGGATTTTGTGGGGTATTTTAATAAGCGTATCAACAAACCACATCCCCCGGGAATGTTTCTGTTCCCCAGACCAAGGAGTTTTCCCTGTGGTTGCTTTGCAGGGTCAGTGTTCCCACGGGTCCCTCAGGCCCCGCCCACTGCAGAGCCCCCTGTGCTGGAGACCCCCCAGAAGTTCTTCCTGCGCATAAAGGAGAAACTGCAGCAGCAGCAGCAGCACAAAGGTACGTGGGACTGCCCTGGGAAACACTTCACAGCCTTCCTCGGCTCGGAACCAAGGCACTGGTGAGGCTGGAAAAGCCCTCTGACCCCATCGAGTCCAGCCATCCCAAGGCCACCACTGCCCCGTGTCCCCAAGGGCTCCACCACAAGCCCGTTCCAATGCTTAAATATCACTAACTTCTTTGTTGCACCTTTTTTTTTCCTAATGTGCAGATCCAACACCTTCAGACCCCATCCAGCAGAACATTCCTCCTTCCACAGCCACGGAGAAGCCTTTAGTCAGAGCTGCCTGTGCTGAGCAGCCCAGGGCTGAGCCTCCCAAGGAAGTGGACACCAATAAGGAGGATGATGTGGACATTTTCCTTGTGGAACCAATAGATGACGATGGTGAAATGTCTCAGAATACAGGGACTAGTTTTCTGAATGTAAATTCCACCCCTTCGAAAAACGAGGATCAGGTAACAGAAAAGTGGGGAAATGGAGGAGCAAAACATACAGAGCTTCATCAAGACAGAAGAGAGTTGCAGCCCAGTAAAAAACAAGCTGCTCGGGGAGTGGAAAAGACCATGGAGAGTAATTCCCCAAAGCCCTCCCAGTGCTTCTGCAGCATTATGCTGTCTAGTCCCACAGTCCACATTCCAAGGAAGCAGAAACTGACAGAAAAGCCCAAGGACCCTTTGGACAAACCTCATACCGACCAACCTGCTGGCAAAGCAGACAAAGAGGTGGGAGAAATTAATCTTTAGGGAAAAGAGAGATTCCTCTGGGCCGTGTGTAGCTCGTAGTTGTGGTTTTTCTTGTCAAAAGGAAGGAGCACTCAGAAGAGAACAAACCACTGTTTCATTAGATTTTACTGGTAAATTTTCCCATCAAAAAGATTTCTTTTTTACCTTACTCCAAGATGGGTTACTCCAAATGTTCAGGGTTTGTTTGGGAGTTTTTTTGTGTCTAAAAGAGGCCCTTTTGGTTTAGTGTGCACAAGCCACAGTGTGGGCTGAAAGGGTCCCAGTGTTGGTTCCAGCTCTTGGCTGCCCAGTCAAATCCAAGGAGGAGAGACCTTTCCCAGCTGTAGGCTAGGGATGAATCCATGAATCTGCCCAGCTGATGAGGAGGTGAAAGGCTTGGCTTTCCTACAGAACATCTGGACTCCTTTTGAATCAAGTGGGACCAGAATCTTTTCCTAGGAGAGCAGTCTGCAGGCTGGCAGTACTCCCGCCTTTCTGTATGGAAGGCAGTGTGTCTGGAAGCACGCTGCACCCCTGTGATTCCCTGGAAACCTGGCACAAGCACACCTGCCCGAGGCTTGAGTTTCCCTTGTTCTCTGGAGGAGTCTGGGGTTGCAGTCCCTTCAGATTAAGGGAGTGACTTGTTTTGTTCTCCCACGTGGCCAAGTGTGTTTGATGTGTTTCCTGTACTAAAAAAAACAATTCACCTTCGTGGTGAGCTTTGACTGAGATAAGGATCAGATACCCTTTAACAGTCAAGATTTGTAGCCAAGGAGAAGGGATGTTGTTACTGGATATGAGCACTGAGGAGGTGCTGGCTAATAAATACAACTTTAAATGCTTTATTTTCTTTTTTTTCTGTAACAGAAAAGCATCTGCCTGAGCAGCTGGAGGATTAAAGTGATGGAAGGCAACACGGCGATTTCTCTGGAGGGCAAACGGCAGTAAGACCCAGTTTTGTGGTTGAAGTGTAGTGTAAAACAGGCCCAGCCTGGGGCACCCACCACCGAGGGATGGTGCAGAGCAATTCCTCTGTGTGGGCAAGAGGTGGCCAGACAGGGCCAGAGCCGTTCCTGTTCCAGGCTAGGGAAGGAAAGCAGCACTGAGCACGTCCTGCCAGCACCTGCATCCCTCAGCAAACGTGCATCACTGCCACTCCCCTTGGAACAGCAGAGCTCCAGGTCAAACCCCCTTCTTTTCTGCAAAGGAAAGGTTGTGTTCCCCTTGCTCAGGCTCTGTCTCTCCCCAGGGACATGAAGGGCCTGCTGTGGCACAGCAATGCCATCACCGAGCGCGTGGCCCACAACCAGCTGAGGACGTCCTCGGGCAGCCTCTACGTCCTGCAGGGCAAGATCGACTCTGCCACCATGAGGAGAGAAGGTGAGGGCTGGGGCAGAGCAGCACTGCCACTGCTCAGGGGTGCCCTGGGGAGGGGAGGGATGGACCTGCACAGCTGGGCTGGGATCCTGTTCTCTGGCATGTTCTGCAGTGATGAGCTGCATGTTAGTGCTTCCAGGCAGCCCCGGGGGCACAGAGATCAGCTGGGGCACAGATGAATGAATACTTAGAATCACAGGATCTCCTGAGCTGGAAGGGACCCCCAAGGACCATCCAGTCCAACCCCTGGCCCTGCCCAGGACACCCCAACAATCCCCCCCTGTGCCCCAGAGGATCATCCAAACCCTCCTGGAGCTCTGGCAGCCTTGGGGCTGTGCCCACTGCCCTGGGGAGACTGGGCAGTGCCAACCACCCTCTGGGGGAAGAACCTTTCCCTGAGATCCAACCTGAGCCTGCCCTTGGCATTATTTCCCTTAACACAGGTGTGCCCTGGGTGTGTGATCCCAGGTTTTCACTGAACACACCTGCACTCTGCTCTTTCAGGCCCAAAGATGTGTCTGTGTCTTCAGTCTTTCCTTCTTAATTCCTGGGATACCTGCTTGATAAACACCTGACCTGGCTGCTCTCTGACTTGAAGTTTTTATTAGTTGCTCTGCTAAATACTTGTATTTGCTTTCATTTTACCATTCTGAGAAGAAGTAACAGCAGTAGGTTTGTGAGCAGAGTGGCTCGAGTGCTGCAGAGGCTTCCTAAAGCCTGGGAGTGAATGGACTGTGCTGGGATGGAACTGGCTGGGTTAGTTCCTCTGATCTTTGGACTGAATATGCTTGTCCTGGATATTTTCTCTACCCTCAGTGATAAAAAGTCTTGCTGAGCTGTTGGTGATGTCCCCTCTGTCCCTCCAGGGTTTCCCTACCGCTTCATCAAACGATTCACGTTTGGCTTTTCCAGGAGGTGGAAGGAGTATGTCCAGGAGTTCCTCGAGGAAAGGAGGAGGTAATTTCTCTTTCATTGCAATGTTCTTTAAAGTATTCATTGAGGTTTTGCTTTTTAAGAATATTATACCAGAGAAGTGTGAAAGGCTGCAGATGTGTGCACGAAGCCACTGCTGTGCTGTGCCACGGGGGCTTCTGCCCACGGGAAGGCTTCACTTTTACATCATTTGTTAAGGAACAGCTCTTTTAGATGCTTATTCTTTCTTTTCTTAAACTCCAAATCATTAGGAAAGACCGAAAACAGAACAGTGGTGTGGATGAAGAGAGTGACACTGTGGTGGAAGGTGATGTGTTGGAAACTGCAGAAGGCTCAAAGAAGAAACCTGGAATGAAGAACACCACCTATGAAGTATTGCCAAGGAATGATGAAAACACCTGTGAGTGTTTGATAATCATTTCCTTTGGGAAAGACAACTGGGGGTGGACGGAATGGGTTGTGGAAAAGCTCCTTATGTTGGTGTTGTTTCCGAGGAAAAGCCACAACCTGTTGAGCCCCCTGGTTTTGCTGAGCCTTAGAGAGCAGTCCCAGCCTTGTGGACACTGACAGCTTTGGGCTTTAACTCACACCTTTCTCTGGGTTCTCTGTCCAGTGGGGTTTGGCCAAGCTCCACTGTGCTGTTTGTTGATGCTGCAATCAGATTTCCTTGCTAGCACTATAAAAGCTCCTTTATTTTTTTCTCTCCTCACTCCCATTTATTTGTCTCTCATCATCCACGTTTATTTTTCGCTCCCTTTTCTCTCAACGAGGAGCTGTTCAGTGTGACAACTTCTCTTTATCATTCTCCCTCCCTCCATGACTTTGCCAGTATTTATAACCTTGTAAACAGAGTGAAAGTCCTCACAGAGGGTGGTATAACCTGTGAAGGTGATCACTTCAGTGCTGTTTTTCCAGTCAGAACACTTTCAAAAGAACCACTTGGGCTGTTTTACATTGTCCATGTAGTCTGGTTTAAACACCACATTGCTTGTGAGGTGTGCAAGGCTGAATTTTCCATGCAATGTCTGGGACAAGCCCCTTATTTCCTGCTCTTCCCCTGCAGACACCACCCCGAGGCACAGCTCCCAGGGGGACGACTCGAGCAGGGTTTACACTCGCAGCGGGAGACAGGTCAGACCCCCCATGAACTTCTGGTGTGGGCAACGAGCTTTTGTGGATCGGAACCTTGATGTCACCCTGGAAGAGGGTGGTGTGGATTATCTCAGCCTGGTAAGGCTTCTTTGGTGCTTAAGTGTGTCTTAAATATAATGAATATATAATGAATAAACTTGGCAAGGTGTGTAACGGAACCGGTGCAGCTCTCAGAGGTACCTGGAAGGGAAGGAAGTCTTGGGAGCAGGATAAAAACATTGTAAAACAAACTGACAGAATTGCCTTAGCTCTGTGTTATCAGGGAATTGTTGTCTGTCAAAGGGGGACAATGGGAAATTGGTTCTGGAAAAAGACTGGGGTTTTTGGAAAGATAATGTATCAGACAGGCAGTTGGTGAGGTCCCACCTCAAATCCTGAGGTCCTTCACTGCAGGATAGTCCTGGAGGGGCTGGAGCGTGTCCAGGGAAGGGAACGGAGCTGGGAAGGGGCTGGAGCAGCTGAGGGAGCTGGGGGGGCTCAGCCTGGACAAAAGGAGATTAAATTAGGTTTAGATTAACTTGTTTTATTTTGAAGATGCTTAGTAGTGAAAAATCCCACAAAAAGACCAGTTTCCTCTCTAAGAAGAACAAACCAAAGGAAGTCATGAAGACAACAGAGGAAATGCCAAAAAGCCAAAATAAAGGTAAAAACTTTTTTTTCCCTATCTTCAAGTGATTGATGGAATCAGTGGGATTGTGAGTTGGGTGCTGGAGCAGTGGGGTGGGGTCTGTTAACGCAAAGGATTTATTTAAGTCTTTTAATGGTCAGCTGCTTTTTCTCTGAAGAGTCATCAGAGCAGCACTGATGTGTAGTTTTACAGCTCCACATATAAACTGTGCTTGTCAAAGTGTTCTCTAACTGCATAATTGGGACACACGTTTCTTTTGACACACTGAAATGAAGGGATCCAGTGACTTGGGGGCCTGGCTTTGCTTTTTAATGAGGATGAAATAAAAGACATGACATGCCTGTGTAGGCGTGGAAAAAAAAAGTCTATTATAGGAGTTTTTGATAAAAACTTGTTGTTAATAAAATGTGGGCAACAGTAGAAGCCTGCAAACAGTGTGAAATGTCAAGCAGAAGTTTCTCTCCTAAAGCAGCTGCAATGTTTCCTGCAGAAAGGCTCTTTGGAGCAGGAGCAGAGCTTTTGGGAGGTGTGTGCCCAGGCAGTGTTCGGTAGTCACGGACAGCCCTTCCCGGAGCTCTGAGTTTGTAGTGCCTGGCAGGTAAAGCTCTGGCAGGGGTTGCAGGTGCCCTGTGCTGAGAGCACGGCCACGACTCACCCTGCACCCTGCCA